ACCTCCTTCCTGGAGCCGAAGGGAAAATTAGCTCTGACACCCCCAGGCACTGGACGACACTCAGTCCTGGGAGCTCTGGAACCGAATGGGGAATTAGCTCTAGTCCTTACAAGGATTTTCCCCGCTGAATCCCCTGCATGCTGGAACAGCAGACACAGGAGTAAATCTTTCCTTCCAATAACAGGACAACACACAGTTTTGGAGTGTAAGCTGGAATAGAATTTTAATGGAGGCACACTGGCATTTTATGCAAGTTTCCCAGCAAGGGTGACACCCAGGTGGACCTTGTTGGGCACAGGGACATAAAGTGAACAAAACAATAAAAACAGAGTCATACAGTGAGACCTTCCCATACACAAACAATAGAATTCCTCCTCTGTGCTTGGGAGATAATTGAATCATGAACTGTACTAATCTAACCTAATTATCTCCAAGCACAGAAAAAACATACACTTTTATAAAATCCCAAAAAGTACCTTAAAAACACACAAAACCCCACAGTCACATCCCCTGATAGTCCTGATCTGGGTGAACAACATATCCAAAAATCACCCAGATCGGTTCAGGGGTTCAGGAATTTCCTGAAGGTCATAGTTTTGAACGACCGCAAACATGGCCCCATGCCCAAAACAGTTCCAAGGAAATCAGTGCTAAGTCGGTTACGTTTAGTAGTCTTTTACCGGTTTCCCTACAAGGCCCAGGGCCGGACTGGGGATTCCAAAGCAGCCCTGGAAAAATCTATGCCAGCCCCATAAGTCATTGCGCCATATATTGTTGCATGTAATATGTAAGGCTATGTCTTGCCACCCTATATGATTGATTGATATATATATATATATATATATATATATATATATTGCCTTTTCCAATATAAAATATTGGTCCTTTCAGAGTAAAATTTTTAATTATACGGTAAGCATACTCACATGCAGACACAGACAATCTCACTGACACAAGCTGATTGAGACACAGCCTCATAGACAAACAATCTCACTGATATACATAAGGTCATTGACATAAAAACACAAGCATACATACACACACACATACCATGACAGACACACACCATGACAGACACACACCATGACACAGACAGACCGTGACACAGACACACACACCGTGACACAGACAGAAACACACACACACCGTGACACAGACAGAAACACATACACACACACCGTGACACAGACAGAAACAGACATACACACACCATGACAGAGACACACATATACCGTGCAAGACACACACACACCATGACAGACACACACCTTAAAAAAGACACACACACCTTGACACACACACACCATAACACAGACAGACCGTGACACAGACACACACCATGACACACAGAAACACACACACCATGACATACAGACACACACACACACCATAACAAACACACACACACACCATGACAAACACACACACACCATGACACAGACAGACCGTGACACAGACAGACCGTGACACAGACAAACACACATTACATGACACACACACACCATGATACACACACACACCATGACACAGACACACATTGCATGACACAGACAGACCGTGACATAGACAGAGACACATTACATGACACACACACACCATGACACATACACACATTGCATGACACAGACAGACGCACACCCCATGACACAGACAGACACACACCATGACACAGACAGAGACACACACACACCATGACACAGACAGAGACACACACAGACACACACACACATACACTCACACTGACACACAATTTCTACCTGTGGGGAAGCTCCTTTAGCGGCCGCAGGGGGAGCTGGCTGTTCTGGCGGCCGCAGGGGGAGCAGGCTGTTCTGTCTCTGCCCCCCCTCCCCAGCGCGCCGCTTAATGAGACCGGGGCCGGAATATGACATCATATTCCGGCCCCGGTCTCTTTGTAGTGCGCTCGGGAGGGGGAGCAGAGACAGAACAGCCAGCTCCCCCTACGGCCGCCAGAACAGCCAGCTCCCTCTGCGGCTGCAGGTGAGCCGGCCCCAGGTGCCGACGGCCCACCAGGAAATTTCTCGGTATCTCAGTGGGCCAATCCGGCCCTGACAAGGCCCATAGTCTGTGGGCAGGAGGCTGGCAAGCAGGCTCCTCCAGGAGCTCGTGGCAAACTCACTTAACGAGGGGAGTTTGTCACAGTCACCATGAAAAAGTTACTCCCCACACACAGTCGCATAGACAAAATCACCCTGTCACACTCACTCTATTACAGTTACACTGTCACACACACTCTGTCACAACCACTCTGCCACAGTCACTCTAATAAACACACAGGCATCTTTAGGTATAGGCACCACCCCTAAGACAGTAGCCCCCACACTCACACAATCACGCATCGTAAACACAACACACACAGCAAGACCACAAGCAGCCACCCCATACACACAGCACACTGCAAGCAGCTCTTTCCAGGGGCGTACCTGGAGCATTTGGCACCCGGGGCGGATCCTATATTTGGCATGCCATATGTTTGAGTGAATGTACGGGTGTGTTTGCATGTATTGTCAATTAAAGCCAGGCGTGCATTTTTCTGTAGCGTGGGTTTTGAATATGGTGGTGTGTTTTTATGTAGTGTTGACATTTGGATGCAGGGTTGTATTTGTGTGTAGTGTGGACGAAATGCTGAGATGTATGCACATATACATACATACTCACATATAAACACACTGGCACACATACACAGACACATAGGTACACACATGCAATTACATAGAAACATAGTCATACACAGATACATACAGATATACACACATACAGACACACATAGTGAGACACACAGGCATAGACACACACATACAGACACACTGATACAAATACAGACACACAAACAGATACACAGACACACAGTGACACATACAGATATACAGATACACAGACATACAGATACACAGACACACATGTATAAGTGTGTGTCTGTGTGTGTTTGTATAGTGAATGCAGTGTGTTTGTGTAATGGATGCAGTGTGTGTGCTTGTATAGCGGATAATGGTGAGAGAGAGGGGGTAATACTGTGAGGGAGTTGATGATGATGTGGGGGGGGTCATGGTGTGAGGGAGGGGGGAGTAATACTGTGATGGGGGTGATGGTGAGAAGGAGGGGGGTGATGGAGTGAGGGGTGGGACTAAGTACCTGGTGGTACAGTGTGGGCTCCCTGGTGGTTCGGTGGTGATATCCAGTGTGCAGAGCTGCAGACCATGAATCTTTCGAGACCCAGTCAGAGCGTTGCCATGGTAACCCGCAGCAACGCTCTGATTGATCAGATCTCCCGAGACACATGGTCTGCAGCTCTGCACACTGCATACCGAGCAAGTCGCGGGGCCCCCTCCTGGTGTTGGGTCCTTGGTCAGTGACCCAGGACCCAACACAGTCTGCCCTGGGCACCCCCCTAGTGAATGGCACCTGGGGCGGACCGCCCCCTCCGCCCCCACCCCTTTAGTACGCCACTGGCTCTTTCCATATATATGCTTCCAGAGACATGTGCTCGCAGACACAGAGATTCACACACAAACTCACAGACACATATATATGCATTGAACGCACAGTCATGAACACTTACACACAGATATACAGTCTTGGGAAAAAGAAAGTACACCCTATTTGAATTCTATGGTTTTACATATCAGGACATTAAAAAAAAATCATCTGTTACTTACCAGGTCTTAAAATTAAATAAATTCAACCTCAGATGAACAGCAACACATAACATATTACACTGTGTCATGATTTATTTAATAAAAATAAAGCCAAAATGAAGATGTTTAAAGACTGGAAAAGCCATTATTAAGTTTTGTAAGCCAACCAATCAGAGCATTGTGACAGACAAGTCTGACTATATCAACACTTGCTATGGGACTATTCCCATGGGAAGTCCCATAAGATAGAAAACTTGTCTGTCAGAACACTCTGATTAGTTGACTTACAAGCCAACCAATCAGAGAGCTATACTGGGATTTGATGCACAAAATTTAGACATTGTTAAAAATGTGAACAATGTCTGGATTTTACAGCCTGAATGATGCCCTACAGCACCGCATGGTTTTGCCCCACTAGGAAAAAGGCCATTTGTGTTTTAGTAAATAACTCTGTAGGCCTCAAAATCACAAGTCACCCTAACAATACCCCAACCTCCTCTTAATACTCTATAGACACCCTAATCCTAAATTCTCCACTGAAACCTAAAACTTACATTGGTGGCATCTTTTTTTTCTGGTAGCAGGGAAATTCCATTGCAGTTCAGCTGCATCTGAAAATAGCAGGGATCCATTCAGCTCAATTTCTATTACCATTCACCATTACCAAATACAGTGAACTACAAGAATAACCAAATGGAGAATTGAGCAGAATGGAACCAGGCAAATTTACATATATGTTACGGTGACTGTATATTACGGTGACATTCCATCCATTGTGGACCAAATCCAACTTGTTTTCATGGAGGCTCTTTCGTGACCAAAAAATATGTATTTTTGGGAAGGCTCACCTGTTTTACTTCTATATTCCTGAAATATGAATCTAATTCCAGAGTTTAGCTCATGGTGATAACAGAAGCTGTTAGCCTGGGTATCCAACACTCCAGAAGAAGAGGCAGGTAATGGTGCCCAGTAAATAATAAAAATAATTAAAACACTGTATGAAAATATGTACGGGTAACAAATGTAATTTATTTGTGCAATCAGCCACAAAGGTTAATGGAGGTCCCACCTGAAACATTATACTTACAATCCCCTCCAATATATCTTGTATTTTCATGACATGCATTGATTTATTCTTTGTGATTTCCTAGTAATGTGACAGTTATCCAAATCGGCTTATCAGGGTTCGGTACAGCTCACAGTTTAAAACTACATTCAGTAAACGTAGGTGTTCCGTTGATTAAAGTCCTTTCAATGAAAAGTTGCAGATAGCTTCAGAAACCTTTTGAAAAACATTAACAATACTAATTAGATAGCATGGGTTTGTTTTAAAAAGCAACAAAGCAATAGACATAATATACATTTTCTTTAAAAATGTAAAAATGCAGATTGGTTTAAGAAACAGAATATTTTAGTTTAATATATTTTTTTAAAGGAATACTGTAGGCCAAGCATGTCAAACTCGCGGCCCACAATGAATATCTTTGCGGCCCGGCAAGCCGCGTGTTTGTCATGCTTACTAAAGCAGAGTAGGCACCTACTCGCCCCATATTGCAGGTGCCTTCTCAACCAAAATTACATGGCCGGGGAGGAGAGGTCACCGGTGGCAGCGAGGGAGCTCAGTCTTCCTGCTCCTCACTGCTCCCTCGCGCGCACCATCTGTAGTGATGCCGGGTGCCGGAATATGACGTAATTCCGGCACCCGACATCACTAAACTGCGCTCGTGAGGGAGCAGGAAGACTGAGCTCCCGAGAGAAGATCAGGGAGAGGCCCCACTCCAGCTCCCAAAGGTAGAGAGCAATAAATAAAATTATGTGAGTGTGTGCAAGAATGTGTAAATGTGTGTGTGTCTGTCAGTGTGTGTGTTTGTGTCTTTCAGTGTGTGTGACTGTCAGAGAGTGTGTGTCAGTCAGTGTGTGTTGGTCAGTGTTGCGATGGCCGTGGCTGGACAGTGGAGGACCTGGAGGTGCACAAAGGCACGCAACACCACGTCATATTCTGATGTGACGTCAACGTGCTTCACCTTCACAGGTTTTCAAGGAGTACCGGCACCATTGGGGGTATAGCAGAGGCTGGGCTCCGGTGTTGCATGCTGGCAGCGGAAATGTGAGTGGAGTCTGCTTATTGGCTAATATTGTTTTTTGTTTTTTTTAAACAAGGGCTGTGGTTTAGTAGATTGGGGTGCTGGGATTTAGTATAGAGGGCAGTGCTGGGATTACCAGAACCCAGACTCGGACCCAGATTTATGGGAAAGGGAGACAGCTTTATAAGAATGGCGATCGGCAAAACCAGATCATATGAGGATCCTTTCCCTTCAAGACTACACTGTTTCCACAGCCTCTCCATCTAGCCATTGGATACCTTCAACAGAGAAGTGATCAATATCAACAACAACATATTGATTGGTGAGATCCACCCATTTGCTATTATCCGATCAGTGCACTGTTCCCTCTGTTCTTGCCAGTGACTATTACTTTTCACTTTTTGCATTTTTAATTTTTTCACTTTTTATTTTTTATTATTCCTCCTTACCACCTTGTTTACCATACAGCAACTTAGTGGTGGATCCACCTCACCTGAAGGATTCAAGTGAGCTTCAAGGATATTCAGAAGCACAGACTGTATATAGTTGTTAATAGCTGGTGATGTGTACATATTATGAATTTTTTCTAAATATACTCTAAATGAATTTACTAGTGATGTGTACATATTATGAATTTTTTTCTATAGATACTATAAATGAATTCATGGAGAGGTCAGCAATTTGTATTTGACAACAATAGTGGTTCTAATTTCTATTTGCCTGAATTAGGTACAGTTAGTATATAATAAATTAAATGTTGCATATTTACACACCGATTCTGCTTTTTCTTATGCACAGTTTGATGCATGTGAGCGCGGTATTAATATTTATATTTTTGTACATATTTTCTTAAGTTTTGTTGGGGGTAAACCTCTAATACCTGCACCATTATTGTAATTGAGTGCCAGCACCATCAATATTGTTTTTTGGTGCTGGGATTAAGTATTGGGGGGAGGGACTGGAATTTTAGTATAGAGGGGGACTGGAATTTAGTATGGGGGACTGGAATTTTAGTATAGAGGGGGGACTGGAATTTAGTATGGGGGACTGGAATTTAGTATAGAGGGGGGGACTGGGATTTACTACAGAGGGGGGACTGGGATTTAGTACAGAGGGGGGACTGGGGTTTAGAACAGAGGGGGGGGACTGGGGTTTAGTCGAGGGAGATGCTGTTTTGTTTGTTTTTTTATATACTGTACTATTCAAAACAAAGCTATGTTTCTATGAAAATTTAAGTTTTTTTTTTTTTTGCGGCCAACATAAACTGAAACCTTGTTTATGTGACCCGTGCTAGCCTTTGAGTTTGACATGCTTGCTGTAGGCAACTTCAACTGGAGTCCTTGAACACTGGCTCCCACATCACTACTACATGGTTTACTCACCATTTAGCAGAGATGCTCTGTACCCTACTGCCCAGCATCCAATGACGACATGGTGGAGGCACCTCACAATTATAATTGTTTATCTAGTGCCAACATATTTTGCACCACTGTACAAAAGGCATACAAGACAAACATTTAATTCTTACACAATACCAATTCATACCAGTGAATGGGGCACTGATTGGCTGAGAGAGCACTGCTGACACTCTCAACCAATCACTGTCCACTATCCATAGTATGGCGTGAAGTGGAGCATAGCCCCGCCCCTACTATTTCTTCATTGTAAGCTAGGCTTCAGGTTGCTGGGGATCAAGAATCTACGAGTAACATGGAAGTCAGGGGCCCACATATTCCAGACACCATAACCACTAAAACCCACTGGCCACAGGTGGGGACAGGTCACTGTAGAACCTTCATTATTTATTTTAAAGTCCATCACCCTATGCCCATGGGCAGCAGTTTAAAACAGTTACTACATATATAGTTTTTTAATTTAATTTTACACCTCCCTTATGGTATAATATTGAGCGCTGTAGGCTATTTACGTATTTTAGCCATTTAATGTGGCGGCTGGCTAGCAAGTTTGGTCTGGCTAAAATCCCAATCAAATTCAGACAAGAATTAATAGTCCTAGACTAAGAAATTACATTGTGATGAAAGTAGCATTGAATTTATTTTAGATTTAACTGGTTTCCACCAGACCAACAAAGTTCCTGAATGCAAATGAAATAGGAACCTATAGTTCCGAAAATATTAATAATAATTTCAGGACTATAGGTTCCCTTAGATCACAGTCCATACCCCATTGCTATGTTAAAGTTTACTCTGTTGCAGTGCCAGGACCTTCTATAGCAGCCTCTAGCTCCTCCTCTGCTAATGTCAGAATCCAAGCTGATAGCACATGCGATTCTCTCAGATCCATTGCTTCTCATAGACAAACAATGAATTGGAACTAGACATGCACAGTCAAATGTGGAGCTGATCCAATCAAATGCCATCAATTTCACTTAGTACTGGAGGAGGAATCATCTCTAGTAGTTGTCAGGAAGAGAGGTACTAGAGGCGAATTTATCCTGCAATGTAAACATTGCCGTTTCTTTAAAAAAAACAAAAGCAGTGTTTTACATTGCAGGGTTATCACTAAATGTCAATGAATAGTGTAATTTTATTGTACTCCATATTCAAATGCAATTACAAAATTCAATGACATCTGAGTGTAATGGACAGACATTAAAATTAATTATTAATATCTGGGTAAAATTTTTGTGTAAAATTGTATGATTTTATAAATTTTGAATAGTTTTACATGTTATTTAATTTTCATTTTTTGCTGTTGAGTATGAAATTGTACACAGTCAACAGAACCACTACAGCTTAACGTCCCTGCAGGCTTTTTAGTGTAAACACTGCCTTTCCTGATAAAATGTTTACATTGGTGCCTAGGACCACCTCTAGTGGCAGTAACTCAAACGGCCACTAGAGTTGCTTCCTATCTCAGTGCTGCATAGTGTGTTCATGCCCTGCATCTCTATGAGGAAATGCAGATTGGTGCAGGGCAGCGGTTTTTTTTCACGCATGCGCAATAACCTCCCAAATGAAAGCATTGGATTGACTGAGATCATCAAGAGTGATGATCTCAGCCATAAAGTTGGAGCTCGGAGGGGCAGCCGCTGCAAGACCTGCGAGGATGGGATAAAAAGTAAAAATAGCATCCACACCAGCATTATGGTGTCAGGAATACATGTTTGTATTCCTGACATTATAGTGTTTCTTTAAGTGAAGAAAGATGAAAGGGACATTATAGTTACCAAAACAAATTTAGCTTAGTAAAGCAGTTTTGCTGTATAAATCATACCTCTGCACTCTCACAGCTCACTTCTCTGCTATTTAGGAGTTAAATCACTTTGTTCATACAGCCCTAGTCACACCTCACTGCATGTGAGTTGTACAGCCTTCTTTAACACTTCCTGTAAAAAGTCATCTAATGTTTAGACTTCCTTTGTTGCACATTTTGTTAAATTTAGAATGTCTTATCTCCTGCTCTGTTAATAGCTAGCTAGACCTTGCAGGAGCCTCCTATATGCAATTAAAGCTCAATTTACAGAGCAGGAGATAAAAACTTTTAAAGTAAGTAACATCTGATTGAAAATGAAACCATTTCTTTTAATGCAGGCTGTGTGAGTCACAGTCAGGGGAGGTGTTTCTAAGGCTGCATAAACAGAAACTAAAGTGATTTTACTCTTAAATGGCTGAGAATTGAGCATAGAAACTTCAGAGGATTATCTATACACAAAAACGGCTTCATTAAAGGGACACTGTAGGCACCCAGACCACTTCAGTTCATTGACGTGATCTGGATGTAGGGGCGTACCTAGAGCATTAGGCTCCTGGGGCAGATCCTGTGTTTGCCCCCCCTCCTTAAAATGTAAACAATACCTGCAATATTTTCAATGTTTAATATTTTCATTTTTAAAAATTGCACAAATGTGTACATTTTGAAAAAACCCTGCTCACTTCTACAAAACCCCTCTCCTGCCCGTCATTCTACAAAACGCATGTCCTGCCCCCGATCTACAAAACCCCTGCACCCCCTTCCACACATCCCCTTTAAACATAATCCCTGAAACATAAGCCCTCTTTAAACAAAATCCCTGTCCCCCTTCTACCAGCCCCTGCACCCCCTTCCATAAAACATCTGCATCTCCCCTTTCCCCCAAAAACTGGCTCTCCCTCTAAAGACCCTGCTTAACCCCTTACAATATACAATAATTAGTAGGCAGACAGTCACACACACACACACACACACACACACACACACACACACACACACACACAGTTAAAGGCAGACTGTCACACAAACAGTTACATACAGTCACACATACAATAACAGGCAGATAGTCACACACACACAGTCACACACTCACAGGCCTAGGGCAGCACAAAACCAGGATACACCACTGCCCACACACACTGCACCCCTGACACTCACAGCATCCTCACTCACACACACTGCACCCCTGACACTCACAGCACCCTCACTCACACACACTGCACCCCTGAAACTCACAGCACCCTCACTCACACACACTGCACCCCTGACACTCACAGCACACTAACTCACACACACACTGCACCCCTGACACTCACAGCACCCTCACTCACAGCACACACACACACACTTCACCCCTGACACTCACAGCACACACACACTGCACCCCTAACACTTACAGCACCCTCACACACACACACACACTGCACCCCTAACACTTACAGCACCCTCACACACACACACTGCACCCCTGACACTCACAGCACACACACACTGCACCCCTTACACTTACAGCACCCTCACACATACACACACACTGCACCCCTAACACTTACAGTACCCTCACACACACACACACTGCACCCTTGACACTCACAGCACCCTCACTCACACACTCACATAAACTGCACCCCTGACACTCACAGCACACACACACACACACAGCACCCTCACTCACACTGCACCCCTGACACTCACAGCACACACACACTGCACCCCTAACACTTACAGCACCCTCACACACACACACTGCACCCCTGACACGCACAGCACACACTCACTGCACCCCTGACACTCACAGCACACACACACTGCACCCCTGACACACACAGCTTCCTCACATGCACATAGCACCCTCACGCAAACACAGCACCCAATCACACACAGCACACACACACAGCACCCTTACCCACATAGCACCCTCACACAAACACAGCACCCATCACTCACACACTACACACCTCACACACACTGCACCCCTCTCGCACACACACTACACCCCTTACACACACACACAGCACCCTCACACTGCACAATATGCTTTCCTAGCATTTTTGTCTCCTGGTAAGCCAACTATGGAGACACCAGAGACAAATATCAAGCAAACACAGTGCAAGCATGTTATTGAATTTGCTTGCACTGTGCAGAACAAATACCGGGTCTTTTTCT